CCAACAGGCTCGGGTAAAGATTACATGCCACCATTTGTGACTGTATTCGCATGGTATAGAGTTCAATAAACACACTTGACCCAAAGGGTTTAGGCTTACCGAATGAACTAAATATATTTTATGTCTGTAATTAATTAGGTAATGAAGTAATGGATGAACTGCAGAAATAAATGTTTACGTTAAGTGACTCAAAGAGTCCGGAGACAAAGTCTCATGGTTTTTAGGTTATTCAATAATTAATTATTTTTGAAGAACTGAAGGTGTCACCAGGTCACCAGGTCACCAGGTTATTTAACTTCTCTGAAAAAATGAGACAACATGACATTTAGACAACAGTCCTGGAAATAAATGTTTACGTTAATGTTTTGTCAAGACTTCATCGAAACATGAACGTAAATGACCCAAAATATATTTTAGGGTAGAAGGGTAGATCTAACCTCATTTCTAACCTCATTTCTAACCTCATTTCTAACCTCATGAATTTTATATATTAATGTTTTCGTTAAGCCACTTTGTGCCGTCAGTCAGTCAGTCAGTTTAGGAAAGACTTTAGAAAGTTGTTGGAAAATAAGTCCTGGGAAGAGTATTATAAGACATTTTGTGAAGAATATAGCAACCGTCTGAATTCGGACTGTTGTTTTTTTATACAAAATTCATGCAGGAAATTCTTGAGTTTTGGTTGAAAGAATACAGTCGAGCCACTTTTGGCTCCACCTCAAAACAAGCATTTTATGAGCTTACTAAGGGTGTTATAAATGAATTCAAAGGTATTTACATACATCCTGACCTCGTTCATTTTGTTGCTGAATTCAGCAAAAATAATGTTTAGGGTAGATGGTTAGATCTAACCTGATATCTACCCTCATTTCTACCCTCATGAATTTTCATGAATTTCCTTAAGACAGAAGAAATAAAGTTAGTTTTATTTTTATTTTTTTATTTTGTATAAAAGATATGATTTCAACAATCGGCACAACAACAATTCAAGCCACGAACGGCGAGACTCTGTCCACAACTACGGCACCAAATTCATTAATCATGAATCCTACGTCAATGTTAGTAGAGATGAAAAGCTTTATTCCTTCTTCATATACTTTTGAAACAGAAATACAAAGAATAAAGCAAGAACTTTTAACAAGTAATCTAGACTGTAGTGCGAAAGATGAAACAAATGGAGAGGAGCTATATGAAATGCAAGATATCATAGACCATTTACCCAAATTGCCTGAAATTCAGCAGCAAAAACTAACTATTCCTGAATTCGATGAAATAGAAGTGAAACCAACCGATTCAGTAGAAATAAAGAAGTTCATACGTAAAGTAAACTATGAATTCCTTGGTTTTCATTGCAACCATAAAGTTATGAACAAAGATTGCGACATGGTTTATAAAAACATTTCTGACATATATAAATCTGAGGAGTTTAAGACTTACGATAACTTTGTTTCATTAGTTGCTGAATGTGTATGGCAGCTAAGAGATAAAGACAGAAGAGGCAAAGTATGGAATGGACAAATAAAACCAACAACTTTTGAGTTAAAGAAAACCATTGACGCCTTAGTTATTTTAGCTGGTAATGTTTCAATGTATAACGCAAAAATGAATCCACAATGTTCAAAATGTAAAGCAGCAATGAGGAAATATAACTACTCCGTCAAAGAGATAGAACGTATGAGAAACGATTACGCAGACTTAAAGAAAGAAGCAGAAAAGCCAGCAGAAGATAAAATAGACATGTTAGCATTTCTGAACAAAAACTATCCCACAGCTGATGATTTCCTTTTATCTGATGTCAAGAAGAAGTATAAAGAAACTTTCGACATTGTTAAAACTTTTGACATACTGACAGAAGAAATAGAAGCTACGAAATTGTTTAGAATTTCACGAATTCATAACGTATATCACGTTAAACGTTTGTAAATCTTGAGGTTAGAAATGAGGTTAGATCTACCCTTCTACCCTAAACATTATTTTTGTCTGAAAAATGACCAAAAATAATGAATTTCATTAGTTAGAAAAATAACGCTAATTTTTTCTAAGAAAATTTTTTATTTTGTATGTAAGAACAGAAATGACAAACATTGAGTTTGAAACAGTTAGAAAGATAGACAATGACACTAAAGTGGTTAGAATAGGTGATTTAAACGTAAGATACTCAAAGAAATACAACAAATATTCTTTGTCAGACATTATATCTCCATCTGGAAAGAAAACAAAGGACTGGGTTAGAATTGCTTCTACTCAGAAAATTTTGACAAGAAATCCTGAGCTTATGATATCAGTAGCATTTCATGGAACAAGAGCATATCTTATAGACAAAAGTCTTATACCAATAGTTTTGTTATGGTTAGACCCAGTTGTTGGATATAACTTCATAACTTATGGTTCATTCGATACGGAACGTTGCAGTGAAGGCTTACTTTACATCGTTCAGAAACCGAAGGACTTCAATACAAAGAGATATAAGATAGGAAGAACATATAATATAACTCAAAGATATGACAGTACAGTCAATAGAGTCAAGGTTGTGTTCGTTAATGATATGAGAGCTGCTGAACAGAACTGCTTGAAGTTTTTGAGAAAATGTATGGTGCTCCCACGAAGTAAAGAAACGTTTGAAGTAGATGAGATAGATAAAGCTATAAAATTATTTGACGAAGTTGCTGAAAAATACATGTAAAGCGTTTATTTTTGGTCTTTTGTGAAAGTCAGAAAATAACGTTAGTTTTAAAATTATTTTTATTTTGTATGAAATGACAGTAATGTCAACATCAGAGAAAACACAACTCTATCGTTCATGAGCCATTAATGAAGAATACGAGTACATACAGTATAACAAACAGTTACGTCTCATTCGTTCGGCAAAGATAATATACCAAATGCAATATAATGAATGCTCTTCGTTCTACAAAGCAAGCATATCATTGTTTGAAAACCAACAGACAAAAGAACTTTTAGAAGAATTTCCTCATATGATTGCTTCCCTCGGAAAACCGAGAGAAGAGATTCCGTATGAAAATCGCAATAGGTTAGAAATGAGGTTAGATCTACCCTTCTACCCTAAAATATATTTTGGGTCATTTACACTCATTACGATGAAGAAATCATGACAAAACATATACGAAGAAGTCATGACAAATCATTTCCGGGACTGTTGTCTAAATGTCATGTTGTCTCATTTTTTCAGAGAAGTTAAATAACCTGGTGACATGGTGACATAGTGACACCTTCAGTTATTCAAAAAATAATTCTAACTGCTCTCCTCCTGTGTTGTTGTCAAAATGTCATGTTGTCTCATTTTTTCAGAGAAGTTAAATAACCTGGTGACATGGTGACATAGTGACACCTTCAGTTATTCAAAAATAATTCATAACTGCCTTCCTCCTGTGTTGTTGTCAAAATGTCATGTTGTCTCATTTTTTCAGAGAAGTTAAATAACCTGGTGACATGGTGACATAGTGACACCTTCAGTTATTCAAAAATAATTCATAACTGCCTTCCTCCTGTGTTGTTGTCAAAATGTCATGTTGTCTCATTTTTTCAGAGAAGTTAGTTAACCTGGTGACCTGGTGACTCCTTCAGTTATTCAAAAATAATTAATTATTGAATAACCTGAAACCATTAACGATAAAATAACTGATAACAAATTTTTATTTTTATCATAAATGGATACCCCACAAGCTCAAAATTTACCACGAATCATGACAAGGGAGGAAACAATAAAAATGATGCGAGAACTTGCTAAAAATAACAAACCACTAAAACTGAGAAAATGCGGTTATGCAGTAATGATGGAAAGAGAGATGTTGTCAAAGAGGAATAAAAATTAAATTTGGATTGAGTTTAAAAATTCATCTTTATTAAATTCATCTCTTCCAATCAATTTATTTATTCTATTAAATTCTTTTATTTTTGCTTCACTCAGTTTAAGGATTGAACGGTAAGTTTCTAACTTTTCAATTATTTCTTCATCGTTTTCAGTTCCATTAGTTTTATGGGCATCAGCCCCACCGCATTGTGGCTTCTTTTTGTAATAGCATATTTTTGATTTAATTCTGTTTAGTTTCTTTTTATATTCATCGTCTGGACTCTTGGATGCTTCGTTGTCACTCATTTCTTACGAAATAAAAAAATTAAATATTATTTAAATATAATGGAGTAATAAAATAAATCGGAATTTCTATTAATTTATTGTCAACTTCAACTAATGCATTGCCGTTAATATATCTAACAAATTCAGCTATTGTGTCAAATCTTCGTCTTCTTTTTGTCATTGATTTATCAGTTTTTCCATAATCGAGATGAATCAAAACTTTATCCCCTTGTTTAAAATTCATGAGCCCCGAATTAATTTGTTCACGTTTAACATCATTTAACCTTTCCATTTGCTTTCTAATATATTCCCATTCTTTTGAAATATCATTTTTCATTTCCACTGGTTTCATGTTTATAGTTCTATGCCATGTATTATTGTAATAATATACTAACTGTTGTATGATGGAGTCATGATTTCCATCCCAGTATATCTGACCGTTAACCCCTAACGCATCTCTAAGAGTTCTCATTACCGCATCAACTATTTTATTATGAAACGTATATGGAGAGGATGAGAAGAAAAAATTAATTTGTGGGAAATAATGAGTCATAGTTGCCTGAAATCCTTTATCACCATCACCCCTGATATTATCTACTCTTTCATGATCTAGTAAGTATTGTATAGCTCTTCTTGTTTCCTGTTCTGTTTTCCCTTTCACTGGAATGCAATATAAATATCTAGTGTTAATGTTAATGGCAAATAAATAAGTAACGTTTCCTTTTGAATATTCTAAATGATCTATTTCGTATGAATATGGATATGGAGCAAATGAAGGCGACTAAATTTTTCCTTTAACGGTTGAATTTTTGGGTCAATTGGTTTATTTAATATCTTGAAATCCTTTTTAAAATCTTTTTGCTTCTTTAATGTTTGAAATGGATATAATAAAGTGAATGATGAAGGATTAACTGAAGGAGGAGGCGGTACTGTCGTTGGAGTACTGTCGTTGGAGTTTTGGTGTTGCAAGTGGTTTAATTTTATCTGCTTTGATTTTGGATTTCATTCCTTCCTTCATTAATTCTGGATGTATTCTATTCATTTGTTTTAAATATGCTGTATATAAAGGTTTGATATACTTTCCCGCTTCGAGTTTATGTTGAAGGATGAATTCCAAAAGTTGATCTTCATTTAAAAGTCGGGCTGAATATGGTTTAACTAATGAATCATAAATTAAAGCTTGTGCTTCATTTATGGTCTGAAGGACCTGGGTGTTTTGCATCTTTTGTTTTTGTTCCTTTGTTTTTTGCGGCTCATGATTATATAAATTATATAATTCATCAATATCTTCTTCTGTTAATACTTTATTTTTGAAATCTTTCAACTGTTTAAGTTGTGATTTAGTTTTTCCCTTTGTATATTCATTATTTTTAATTTTGTCTTTAATTTCAGAAATTATTTTATTATGATATTTCAAAATTTCATTTTTATAATATGGATAATAATATTCCATATCATCACCCGTTATATTATTATTATATTTTTGGAGATATGATTTTAATTCATAATAACTAAGAAAATTTTGATTAAGTACTAAATCATCAATTAAAATTTTTAAATCTGTGTTATCCATTTATATAAAAATAAAATCAATGTTTTAAGGGTGCCCACCTCTTTGAATCATAGTATCAAAACCATCATTAACGGTTCCTTTTGTCTCTTCTGTGGTATTTTATTAAATAAATGGCATACAACATCCATTTTCACAACATACAGCCTTAGTGTGTGCTCCTGTTAATGCAGTCTTACCAATTGTTAAGCGAGTCATTGACCCATTTTTAAGTTGTAAATTAATATTCTGACCATCAAATATCAATTTATCATTTATTATATCCAAATATTTTTTAGGTGTTAATTGTTTATTTTGTCGTAAACTAACACCTTTCATTTTTTGTGCAATCTTTTTAAAATCACCTCATTAATGAAAATTGATGATTTAACAAAAAGAATAGAAGAGATTGAAGAAAGAATGAATCAAATAATTGATTTCATAAATTCAAATAATCATTAGTTTCTTAAATAATATATCCTTTATTTCCTCGTTTGTGAATCCTAATGTTTTCACGTCGTTAGTTTATTACAAACATTCATTTTTGCACTATGCGGATATTTCTAATGCAATTAAATGACTTTTTATTTGATCAGATCAGCTGAATATTTTTAATTCAAACTTTAACTGCTCTCTGAAAAAATTAAATACTGTTAACAAGTACATTTTTGACAAGAAAACCAATATAGATGCATAATCTGAATCCTGGAAAATACAAGAAATAGTATGTGATATATTCAAATTATAAACTGCTCTCTCAATATTTTGAAATAATCCAAGTGTGGATAGAAATTAACTTCATTTTTACTTATGCAAGCGCAACTACATGAGCAAAAAGCATTCATTAGTTGGATGCGTGAAACAGGTAATATGTTCACAGGCGAGGAATATCATCAACGCCTTGGAATTTGGCTTACAAATAAGCGCCTTGTCCAAGAACATAACCGTGCAAATGCTGGCTTTACAGTCGCTCTCAACAAACTCGCTCATCTTTCTCCAGCTGAATATCGCTCAATGCTCGGATTTCATATGAGTAAGACTCAAGTTAAAGCTGTTAAATCCAACGGCGTTCCAAACAATTCTTGTGACTGGCGTCAAAAGGGTGTAGTTAATCCAGTTAAGGATCAGGCTCAATGCGGCTCCTGCTGGGCATTCTCAGCTATCCAGGCCCAAGAATCTCAATACGCAATTACATTTGGTCAACTCCAATCTCTTTCAGAACAAAATCTTGTCAATTGCGTTGATTCATGTTCTGGTTGCGAAGGTGGCATGATGGATATGGCATATGATTATGTTATTAAGCACCAGAATGGAAAGTTCATGTTGGAAGATGATTATCCATATTCTGCAACACAAGAATCATGCAAATTCGATATTAAGAAAGGTGTTTCAAATATCAATAGTTACCTCTTTTGTGAAGAAGGTAGTGAAACAGATCTTGCCATAAAGGTTTCTACATTAGGTCCTGCTTCAATTGCTATTGATGCTTCACCATGGTCATTCCAATTTTATTCATCAGGAATCTATGATGAACCATCCTGCTCATCATCCCTTCTTGATCATGGCGTTGGATGCGTTGGTTTTGGTACAGAGAATAACGCAAACTATTGGATCGTTCGTAACTCTTGGGGAGCATCTTGGGGCGAAAAAGGCTACATCCGCATGATTAAGGACAAGGGCAATCAATGTGGTGAAGCGACATTCGCATTGTTCCCAGTTGACAGATAACTTTTTAATAAGTTAACTTAAACACTGAATTTATAAAACTATTTTGAATTTTATGAGTCACATAGTATTTCTGTTTCAAAGCTCTGAATGAAGAAGGTTCTATCATGAACTACATCATGCCAGATCAATATGATTTAATAAACTATGAAATATGACAACTCTTAATGATAGGTTGTTCAACAATCAACGAAACATATGCAACTGACATGAAATTACTTCCAATATAGCTATTCATTAAAATTTGATTATTTTATACTCTTTTTCAAAGATTTGTATGGATTAATTGCCATAACTCATAGGTTTAGATCGTAAATTAGAGGATTGTCTAAAATCTTGATGAAATTTTGAAAAAAAATTGAAAGTTAGAACTGCATTTTCGATGCATTAGAAAGAAATATTTCAAATGAATGGGATGCACAATACATACAACATCTTACAACCTATCTCAAATTTGTTTAGTTCCTTGATCGAACAGAATTTGACAAAAATTTTGTCACTTTTGCAATAAATAATAAATGGATAAAACAGAAATCACATTTACAGATAAGATCGTTATTGATAAACAGGAAGCTCTCATGCGCTTCGAAAGCCTTTTATATCAAATCAAGCCTTATTTATGGCAAAGATGGTGCGCATTTGGATTTATGATGTTTCTTTTCCTCCTCAGAGTATTTACATGGCACGCTTATTACTATATCGTATATATTATTGGATTATATTTACTCAGCTGTGTAGTTGAATTCATTTCTCCAAAACGTGATCCAGAATTATATGGTGAAGAAGTTTTACCATCAGCAAAGGATGGAGATTACAAACCATTCGTTAGAAGATTACCCGAATTCCAGTTTTGGTGCTGCTGCATGCCTGCATCTGTTTTAGCTTGCTTCTTCTCATTAATGCCATTTGATTTACCAGTTTACGCTCCATTACTCTTTGTTTATTTCATTGTTGTTTCAGTTTTTGTCTTCAGAAAGAGAATTATGCATATGATCAAGTATAAATACGTTCCATGGGATACTGGAAAGCAAAAATACCAGAGACCAACTGAATAAAATAATCTTATATTTATTATTTTACATATCGATCGTATCTTTCAAAATATTTTTTTTTAATTTTTTCAAACAGAACATTATGGCCATATTTGATCTTTTTAATATATTTGTCTCTTAAAATACATTTTCTCTGAATAATACATCCGTTCTATGTATTGTTCATTACAATCTCAATTTATATCTTTAGTTTCTTAAAATGGAATCTAATCAACGAACTACTGTGCACAATTATTTCGTATCTAATGCAAAACTAAGTATTCAAAATAATAGATATATGAATCATTGAATTAGATAGTAGCTGCTTTGAATTATCAACGATCCTTCCAGCTATAAAGTGCTCTTGTAGAAGCTGATGTAAACATTAGCCCTTTTGAGTTTGATCTTATGAAAAATTTAATAATTTCTTCATCAAAATACCTCCAATCAATAGTGATAAACAAGGAAATTACGAAAGAGATTGTTTCAATGAGTGCAAGGCTTGATGTGATTTACTTTGAATAAATTTGAATGTCAAATATCATGTCACCTTTCTGAATAAAATTAATGTCACAGGCTCCAAAACTCCGTAAAAGAATACAACCAGCAGCTCAACTTGCTGCCCAAGAAACACCCGCACCAGCGCAGCCAGAACCTGCACAACCAGAACAGCCACAATCTCCAACTGGAACTGGCAGCGAATCTGGACCAAAACTCCGTAAGAGAATCACACCAAAATCAACAACACATTCTACAGTAACAGCAGGAGATGCAGAAATATCAGTCGCCGTTGAGAAAAAGGGAAATGAAGCATCATCACTCGATTTATCCACAATGTGTGGCGAAAACAAGACTGTATCGCTTGATACAATTAATCTTGCCTCAATGGGCAATCTCGAAATCAACAGACTTGCTTCTTCTTCAAACTCTCGTCAACTTAGATTAGAAGTTGAAGAAAGAATGAAGAAACGCGAAGAAGAATACAAGCCACAATCTTCTGGATTTAAGGCAGGTGGATTTTTGGGATCAATCAAAGATTTTGCTCAAAATGCAAACATTGTCACTTCAAATATCGAAGCAAAGTCTACACCATTCTCAGACCTCATCAAACTTGTCGATGAAAAGAAGATCGAGCCAAAGCAAATTATTTTCCGCCCGAACACTTCCGGAATTGCTGGAATTTTCGATCAATCTCTTGATGAGCTCTACAGCGACATTATTAACGAAGATACAACCTTCTCATTGGATGATATGCAGAAGTGCTTGAACATTCCATTCCTCCGCCTTCCAGCAAAGCCTCCACAAGCAGATGAAGGAGATATCATCAACGAACTTATCACGTGCTCAAGCAACGTCATCGAGAAACGTTCCTCATCCAACTACATCTTCTTAAATACCAAAGAAGCTACGAATACCATCAAATATTCCGCATTAATCTTATTAAATGGCCTTAGAGTACCTTACGCCAAGTTATTCAGCCGTGTTGCCAAGATTATTAGTAACGCCGTTCTCGTACACCCACATCTTTCCATTCTTTCCGATCAAGTTAATTATGTCGCTTCTCATCTCCTTCCTACGCTTAACGAGAAGAGCGAATTGAGACTTGCTTCGATCGTTACACTCCACATGCTCCGAAATTGCTTCTACGCGCCTTTAATTCGCTTCATTGGCGAACAATCGAAATTGAAGGCCTCCCTTTTCTATGAGGACTCTCTTCTTATGAACACAGATGATATATTCAGGGCATGCGTTGTTTTGGAACAGGTAGAATCATGCAACATCGAAGGAAATCTGAATTTGAATCAAATTCCAGAATATCATCCAGTTGCACCATTACAGTTCACCAAGAGAGTACATGGAGCCCTCAAGGACTACATTACAGCCGCTCGCAATGAACTTATGTGCAATGATGAGCGTATTGATAAGAGATTTGTTCCAAAGATCCTCGATCCAGTCAGACTTACCTTCCAAGCTGTTCTCATGCAGACAGATGGAACAATGGCCAAGTCAGACTACCTCTGGGACCTTTTCCAGCAAATTTGCTCTTCACAGACCCTTCTTGACAATCCTTTCTTACCGGAATTCAAGAGAGTCATCGAGGAAAGGAAGGGAAAGTTGACGGACAACTCAACAAAGAAGCTGTTGGACGTAATTCCAAAATTACTCGAGATAGGAATTCTTCCGTTCATTCTTCCTTTCGCTACAACGGTCTACTTAAAGAACAGAAACATCGCTAACTCTGTAATTTTGGCTAATCCATACGCTATAACAAAAATTTCATTTTATATCTTACAGATCGGTGAGATAAGGTATAAATTCGAAGAAAACGATCTCTTAGGCATCCTCCAGAACCCAGGAATGCTTAAGAATGATTCAGTCTTCTAAATTTAAAAAAATTTATATTTTTTTTTAATTTTCTTTTTAATACACATTGTCATAACATGTCAACAACCATTTATATAAAAACCTTTTTAATGTTTTGTTTATTCAACCACAATTTTCGTGGTAATTTAATCTCTTATTTTATTTAAATCTTTTTACGGAATAATTTATTGTATTAGTCTCCTTGAGTAGGATAGAATGATCATAAAACTATGTTCGGCCAATTACTTCTCAATTGCAATTTTTTCCCAAAAACTCTAACCACTTGATCGCTAAATTGAGAATAGTTAAGAACAACACAAGTATATCAAGCATATCCATAGGTTCTAAAAAAAAAAAAAAAAAAAAAAAAAAAGGTAGTGGGGCTTCCAGGCACTTCGTGCCTTCTAGCCCACATAAATGAAGTTTTTATTCGGAGGTCTTCCAGGAGCTTTTCACAAATTATATATGTTTTCATGTTTTGTCAAGACTTCTTCGTAAAATCAGACAAAAATAATGTTTAGGGTAGAAGGTTAGATATAACCTCTTTTCTAACCTCTTTTCTACCCTCTTGAATTTGTCAAGATTTCTTCGTAAATGTTTTGTCACTTTTCTGTCACTTTTCGGGTAAAAACATTTTTATTATTATATATAAATGACTTTTACAAAACCTCCGTTACCGTTCTTTGGAAATAAGAGTAGATGTAAAGATATTATATTGAGAGAACTTAAGAAACTACCGAATGGTCTAACATTTGTAGATTTGTTCGGTGGAAGTTTCTATATATCCCATTTGTGCCATACAATATTCCCAGACTCAAAGATTATATGCAATGACTTCGACAACTATATGGACCGTCTCAAACATATTCCAGACACAAACAAAATATTGAAAGAGTTAAAAGAAAAGATACCTATAGGTAAGATGGAACGTATACCATTAGATAACAAAAATATTGTGAGAGAGGTTTTGAAAAAAGCAGAATATATAGACTGGGATAGTATATCTGCTAGACTATTATATAGTGGTGCTATAAGAGTTCATGACATTGAAACACTTATGTCAAAAGTTTTATATCTTAACTATACAAATGTTTTCAAAGAGGACATAGAAAAATATATTGAGGGTATAGAGTTTGTGAGATGTCATTGGACAGATTTGTATGAAAAATATAAAGACAAGGAAAATGTTTTCTTTATAGTAGACTCACCGTTCTATAACACATGGGATTTTCAATACCAAGTAGACTGGACTTTGAGAGACTCTTTAGAAACTTTAGACGTTTTACATAACCATCCATGCTTTTACTTTACATCCGATAAAAGTGGTTTGGAAACCGTTATGAGATGGTTAGAGGACATACATGACTATGAGTTTATATATGACAAGATAGAATATGAGAGAGGTCCTATAAACTGGAGAAAGTGTCACAATAAAGAAATTTTATTAGTAAGTAAATGTGGTTTGAAATAGGACTACTTGTTTTAGGTTTTTTCCATTGTGTCATTTATTTATTTGACGTGGCAGAAAAGTACAGAGAATATGAAGATGAACCAATGCCTGCAAATGTTCAGTATATGTACTCGTAAGAGATATTTTTATCTAATATTAAATGGACGCACAGAACTTAGCGAATGCACAGCAACCTGGACAACCAAACCCAGAGAATATTCCAAATGAAGTTAGAATACAAACTGCAATGGCAAACTATGGTCAAGTGCCAACAGATGTACAAATGCAAACTGCCATGTCAAATGACGCTGCGTTAGGTTTGCCACCATGGTATGCAAATATGAGATGGAAAGAGTTTTATACAAACCCTGAAGTGGGATATAAACAACTTTATGCAGATGACGCGAACACAGGAGTTGACCCAGAATATGTTTTCTACCAGAGGAGAAACAGAATGTATGAGCTCCAGTTAAAGAATGCTATGGAACTCAACAGGAAACGTAAGAGACTAGGCGGACATTAGATTTTTACATATAGTAAAATGGGTTTCTTCAGTAGTATTGGAAACTTCTTCAGAAGAGTTGGAAGAGGTATATGGAATGGAATAAAAACCGTAGGAAGAGGAATTTGGAACGGAGTCAAAAATATTGGTAAAAGAGTAGGTCAGTTTGTTGGTATTATACCTAAAGACCCTGAACCAGAAGAGCAAGCTCCTGTTATACAACAGCCTGAACCTGCACCACATCTAGTTGCAACCAAATCCAACACCTCAACCGTATTAAAAAATTATATTTTTACCGTTCGATAGTAGTTGTATATGAAACTAAGTTCTAAGTAAAACGCATGGTATAATGGAATTATTCTTTTTCTTCCATCTGTAGTAAACCATACTTGAAAGTCTGAAATCTTCCACTTGGTGGTTCGTATAACTTTGTAGGTTTTTCGTAAAAGTCATTTGCCAAGCATAAGAAAGAGTTTTGGGCGCCAGAAAATGAAGCATGAACAATAATAGCAGCTGGGTCGAAAACATCTTTAAATAAATATGGTTCATCTCTTGCATATCGACTGTAAATATTTGCTAAAGGAAGTTCGACTTTCTGATTTAACATTCTTTGCAAATAATACCATGACATTGCAGTGAATTCTGTATATATTTGTTCGTCTTTCTTTGGATTGTCTTCGTAGATTTGAAATGACACTTGTGAATTTTGTTTGTCATATACAATTCTCACATAAAGTGTGCTCTCGGTATTTGCATATTCATCAGCATATTTTGCATAACATGAATTTATTTTATCTTCTATATTTTTTAACGCAGTCTGTAGAGAAGATGAAAGGTCAACTTGTATTAGCTCAATTTCTTCCCACATTTTTCGTTTCCCTTCAGATATATAATCTATATGAAACTTTACAATAAATGGAAAACTTTTATCTTCTACAGACACAAACTTCATTCTACGAAAGCCAATAGCTTTTGTGACAGATGGGTCTCTTAGCCATCTTAATGGGTAGTCAAAACGATAGCCTTCATGCTTTACGGTCTCTGTCTCAAACTTTTGACCGACATTAGTAAAAAGTTCATCTAATGGTTTAGTTGTAGCAACTCTTGAATTTTCTTTTTCTATTGGAAGCATATTTTATCTAGAATAAAAATGTCAAATGAAACAGCGTCTATGAGAGAAATACAACACAACCGACAACTCATTATACAAGCTCTAAATAAGAACACAACAAACTTTTCAAACTATTCTAAGATATCTGAGTCATTGAAAGAAGGAAACTTAAAACTGACATTAAACCCAATGACAGATGAGTTTCTGTTTCAAGACAATAAGAACCATACTGTCTGTATAAATCCAACAAAAGGAACTTTAAACGAGAAACCTATAAATGAACTTCTTTTGAAAACAGATGTTGACAACAAAGCTGACAAAGAATATGTCATTGAAAAAGTTCAAGAAGAACATGACAGAGCAGATGCAACATATGCAACGAAAGAACATACTCATCCTGAACTAGCAGACAAAACATATGTTGACAATAAAATGTCAAGTGAAGTGACAAGAGCTGAAAACGAATATTCTAAAAAGACTCATACACATTCTATATCTGAAATAACAGACTTAAACGTTAGCCTTGAAAAGAAAGCAGATAAGGAATATGTGGCTAGTAAGTTAGAGAAGAAAGCGGATAAGGAATATGTGGATGAAAAAGATAACGAAATGAAAGAAAGGGTTGACTGGTACCATGAATGGACATCGAAGACTTTTAAAGTTAAAGCCGATACAGGATGGGTTTTCAGGATGTTTAGACCTTAAAGCAGATAAAACTTATGTTAACGATGAGTTAGAGAAGAAAGCAGACAAGAACCATACACATACAAGTTTTACAACTGTTGCTATAGAAAGTATTGAAGGAACGGTTGAAGAAACTGGTGGGGATGCAATATATTGTAAACCTCCTAACTTTCCACAAGGTTTAACATCGGATGACGACATAACGACGATGAGAAACATTAGATGTAAAGATGTTTATGTCATGAAGGATGAACATAATATTAAATTCACTGCTCAGATTTATATGACAAGAAAGCAGACAAAACAGAGCTTCAAACATTAAAGACAGAAATACTTCAAACATTATATCCTATAGGCTCTATTTATACGTCAATGAACTCTACCAGACCAGAAGTAGTACTTGGTTTTGGAACTTGGACTCAAATAGTCGACAGGTTTTTGTATTGTGCAAACTCTTCAAAGGAAACAGGTGGAAGTAAAACGATTTCAGGTGAAAATTTACCTGCGCACAGTCACTACATAGATTTAAGTACATCTCAAGCAGGTTGGCATAAGCATAAATTTTGGGATTGGTCAGCAATGAAAAAAGGTAAAGGATATGATGTTAAAGACGACGTTCAGTTTGCTATAATTGTTTCTGGGTGACACTCAGGGAGATGGAAACCATACACATCGCGTTTCAGGATATACGCAAACAACGGACAAAGTAAAGACTACATGCCACCTTACATGACAGTTTACGCATGGTATAGAATGCTTAGTCGTCATTTTCAACTTCTTTAGCATATTCGTCAGGAGTTGTCTTATATTTGTTAGGAACTGTCTTTGAAAGTATACCACCTTGAACTTTGACAAGTTTGAAACGAGGTCTGACAATAGTAGTTTATCTTCTGCTTGCAGTGTGTACATTTTGCCATGTTTGCCTAAAACTTCATAATATTCTCTTGTATACTTTCTTCTATTTTTACGAACACGAATGTGAGTACCTGTCGGTTCCCATTGTTGTCATAGTCAATAGTATTTTCATATGGGTCGCGTTTAGGTATTTCTATTTTTACTTTGTCACCTTTCTGAAGTTTGAAGCCCGGCATTCTTTCTTGTTTGTCTCTTTTGACTAAATTATTAAATATATAGTCTTTCTCTAAGTCAGGGTTGTTTTTCATTTCTTCGGGGAGTGGTTTCCCAAACCTTTTTGTTTACGGCTATTGTAAATATTTAAAACTTGTCTCATCTTTGCCATGGAGAAGTGTCTATATTTGTCGTCATATGACATTTCATTTGCTTCACCACCTTGTGGTTGGTTTAAGTCTCTTAACATTTTTATACAACCGTCAATGACACCAAGAGCAGAATGGTTTTGGTCGACAATGAAATATTGGTTTACATTTTTTGAACGCAGATAGTTTTTAATATCGTCTGATTTGAAAGAACTTTCACAGTCAGATGTCAGTTTTGTTGGATGGTATTTGTCAACGAATATTGTCAAAGCAGTTTTCACATCTAAAATATTTTTGGACCATAATGGTATGGCTTCACAGTATCTTGTTTTGACCGACAAATATTAGCCAGTATGGTTCCATCTTCTCTATACCTCGGAATGTTTTCCAAGATATCCATAAACCAAGCATTTGGTGTTGAACTAAAGATTTTTATCATGAGTGCTTTCTTTGTCGCTTTAGAAACATAGGGGTCCTTGTTTGGATTCGTCATTTTTTAACCCATAAGAAATGGGTTTATTTGGCGCATTAGCAGGAGTTGCATCCAGATTTTTACCCGCAGTGGGAACAATAGCCAGAGGTGTATTTGGAATTGGAAGGAAGATTTTGAGTACATTAGGTATACTTAAAGAGAAAGCACAACCTATTATACAAACTGTACAGAAAGGTTGGGAGTAGCACGAGATGCAGCAAATCTTATTCCAAATCCTGAAACAAGAGGAAAAGTTCAAGGATGGATGGACAATGTAGGAAGACAAGCAGGAAACTACTATAACAAAGCAAATGACTACTATAACCAAGCAGGGCACTATATGGACCAAGGTGAAAGATTCTTTAACAGAGGATATAACCATGCACAACAGTGGGTAAACAATAACCAACCTCAACCGCCTCAAACGTGGGGAATGTAAAATTTTTTTACTGAGATGAAATGAACAATACAGCATTGAGACAAATGGGTTCAAGATGGATTTGTCGACTTCCAGCAGTTACACCCACGTGTTTGTCAAGTTCTTCCTATACCTCAGGAAGTTTTAGACCGACTTAAAAACCTAAACAACCAGTTGAAAAAAACCAAACTAAATTTTTTACTGAGATGAAATGACCGAAGAAGTTGAAACGGTAGATTTGACACCACAAACAAAAAGTTCAGAACCATTGTCAAAACCTGTCAAAGAACTTACAGATGAAGAGAAAAATTCAATAATAGAAAGTGCCAGGTCTGGAAATACAAACCCTAACTATAAAGTCACTTTTCATAGAAATGGAACGGCTAGTATCTCAAAAAAGAAACAGACTCTCACAAATAAAATATTGAAGTCTGAAGGAGCTTTCGAGACAACAGATGGAAAAGTTTACTTCACTGACCAACAGTTCATTATAGAACATCTCATTGACTTAGAGTCGAAATATTCTAAACTTTACAACAAACAAAAAAGTTGAAAGGAAAACAAAAACAAATGGCATATGATATTTATGAAGATGTTGACGACACAACTGTTCCTGCAGGTGAGGTAAAGTCAGAGGAACCGAAAAGTGACGAAAAACCGATAGAAGAAAGAAACCAAAAACTGAAGATAAACCAAAACCAAAGTTTAGTTTCCAAACTAAACCAAGTCAACCTTCATTAGCTGGTATGGGTTGGCGTCAAAGACTTATGGCAGCAGGTGGTTATGTAAAGTAAAGAAAAAAATATTTTTTATTTTTATAAAAATGCCCCCATATAGAATGGATAGAAAATCTGCTAGAATAAAAGCAGAGTTAGAAAGATATGGTTGGAAAGTTTCGAAGAATTTTAAATATAGGAAGGGAAGACCCATAAAAGTCTATGACAAATTGTCTGGTCTTCGCTACGAAATGGACTTAGAAACAGCGCGCGCAAATTATCCAAACAGACTAGAGAGGTTAGAAGAAGAACGTCTTATGGACATGCCTTTCGATGTTAGTGAACCTCAAGTTGAAGGACACGACGGCTTTGCCAGATTCTACTGGAAACATGACGAACAATTGCATCCTTTGAGAAGGAAAAAAGGAGGTGAAGATGCATGCTCCCATGGAAAAACAAGATATGCATATGAGAAGTATCGTGAAGTTAGAAGTCAAATTACTTCTGGTCGAACCTTTACAGTAAACTTTGACGAAGGAAAGAACAAAGAAGGCTTCATGGGAGTACTTGCTGCATATTCAAGATGGAAATAAGAAAGGATACAATCTCAGATTGACCATAACAGATTTGGATGGTCACATTTACTATGCACATGGCAATGTCACAACAGCTGCAATGCTTCTTGACGCTTTCAAGACTACAAAGAGAGAACAAATGGTTGACTCCGACTCAGACATTTTGAATGCAATTGAAGGAATTGCAAGTGTCAAGTTCGAATGGTACCAACCTAACCCTCAAGCAGTCAGACAACATGCTGGATACTTCCCTTCATAAATAAGTCTGACATTGACTTGACAAGGTATGGAATTTACAATTCAATTGAAACAATTGTCAATGAACCTTGCATTCTTACATGTCTCAGGAACTCTGGTCTTGTTACAGATGAGAAATGAAGTATCTTGAGTCATGTGTGAAGACAAGGTACATTCTCAGAGGTCAATTGTCAAAAATTGCACCGTTGGCAAATGTCAATATCCGAGTCAACATACCTACAGCTAAAGGTTCTTCACATGACGACTATGTTGTTGAGTTCAATTTACCATGGTTGAAGATTGCAATTGTCCACAACCACTTCATGTTGAACGAAAGTTTACAAACCCATTGTTCGGAAAAGGCAAGTGCAACATTGTCAGAGCTGTAAACATTCTTTTCGAGAAAGGTTTGTTGGAACCAATTCCAGATGACAAGCTGACAGAAACTTTTGTACCAAAAGACGAAACAAACTTTTCATGTTAGCAAGACCAAAAGTTGTTCCAGACAAAGTTCTAGTACAAAAGAAGTACACAGCTTCCAAAAGGAGTTGGATTGTTCGGATACCAACCTGAACCAGAAGAACTTCCAATGAGGTTGCAAGAACTTCAAGATGCTATAAACAAACTTCCATTGAGAATCCAATCGACGTCAAATTGTATTGGAGAGCATCAGAGTTAGGTCAGAAGGTTTTATATGAAACAGGTTGCTTCGACGATGTTTATGAGATAACAGGAGAAGTTTCTCAGAAGATAAGAGACTCACTTGAATTTCCACGAACTGGTCCGATTGGATGCGACAAGTTCGACTCAGATGAAAAGATATACTATGTCGACCTTAACGCTGCGTACATGAGGTTCGTCCAATATATCCCGACTGGAATTCCAAACGAAGATGGTGAGTTCCCGGGAAGGAACTATACAGTTGGAAAAGTCATACAACAACTGTATGATATTAGGAAAGCTTCAAACCCCAAACTTGCAATGACACTCAAATTGCTTATGAATTCGACATGGGGATATTCCATTAAGAAACCTCAAGAGATGAAGAGTAAACATTATGAGAAGGTCGACAACTTTGTTGAAAGGTTTTCTCCTTTTGTTTTGAAGTACGAATTCACTCAAGGTCAAAGTGGCTTAGTAACCACATTAAAACCTATTGTCGAACATTGGTCTTACCCTCAGTTCGCAAAGGCAGTCCTTGACAACTACAACAAATTCTTCTCCGAAGTCAAATCCAAAGTGAAGGTTTACTATGAGAACATTGACGCACTCATGACGAACGAAGAAGGATACAACAAACTCATTGAAATGGGAATGGTCGGTGAAAAGATGGGCTGTTTTAAGCTAGATAAGGTATTTTCCGAAGTTCATGTCCTCTCCAAGCGTAAGTACTGGGGCATACTTGAAGACGGCACAGAAATAAAACATTGCATGAAGTAAAAAAATTTTTATTTGAATTTGAATTTAAATGTGGGGAATTCTTGGTCTCAAACTCATATATAACCTGTTTGTTTGTATTTTCGTCGACTATGGCACGAGACACAAACATTGACCAAACGGACAAAAAGTGTCATTTCAGATGGTCACGCAGCCAATCGCATTCGAGCACTTCGAAGAAGCCTTACGTTCCAAGGGAGAGGGTGTCTGGTGCAAGGCAGAGGTCATGAGACTCTACGAGCAGTACATCCTCAATGCCTGGGAGGACAAATCGTCCTTGGATTGGCAATTCTACCAACTCCTCTGGGACGACCTCCTACGCAACTGGGATGACGAAAGAGTCCAATTCAGAGGTCGGGAGCTAATTGTCCAAATTACCCTTAATTTAACCCACTTAATGAACTAAACACCTAAATTTACTCGGGGTTTCCCCCTAAAATAAAATTTTTTTACTCTTAGAACCACTCGAGGTTCTCCTTACGGTTGTTGAGCTGGTCACCGTCAATGTGTCTGACCCTCGTCTTCTTGTTTGGATTTGGAACCCATTGCATACCGACAAGCTTTCCCATGGAAATTGAACCGTAATTTCGAAGGGTAAGGTTCAAGTGTCCCAAGTTGTTGAGGACTGGGGTAAGAACCTTGCCTGTCTCCTTGTTGCGGATTTGGTATGGGTAGGGTTGGGAAATTTCGTAAGCGTCATCGGCAACAAGGGTTGCCCAAACTTCCTTTTCTTCGTGTTTCTCTTCTTCTTCCTCTTCTTCCTCTTCTTCCTCTTCTTTGATAATACCTTCGGCAATTCTGTGTTCACGAATTACGGTGTTGGAGGTTCTGTCCTTTCCGAGTACCTTCCAGATGGCGTCTATCTCTTCGAAGAAACGGTAGATGAGTCTGGCAAGGTCTCGGTTCTCTCTCGCGTAAATGTGCAAGGTTTCCGTGAAATCGTTCAGGCGTTTCTCATTGGAAGCTTGGTTCGTGAGGACATCGGCTTTGAGATTGGTCATCTCTGTCATAAGACTACTTTGGAGAGTCTTTATGGTGTTTGTCAGATGAACTTTCAATTGGGCAATTTGAATTTGAACTGGGCGCTTGTCTGGCAACCATGAAAGGACATCTGCTATTGTGTTCGGCTTCGGTGCTTGTTCGGACATCGAAAAAATGAAGTGGTTTGAGAATGACGGTTTTACTTCAAAAAGCTTGTTATGACAGTTATGTCATACAACAAGTTTAAAATAATATCTTGTTCTTCTTCTGAACGTTTGTTGTCTCTTCCGATAAAAGTTTCGAACATGAGAACCAAAAAACGTTTTTTGAGATTGCGGAAGAGTTCAGGCAAACGTTCATATTCCGGATATGTTGGGAGCAGTTCGAAACATCTGAGCTGACTTTCGGACAAAATTGGGACAATGTCAGAAAATTCATCCTTGGTCGGACTGCTTGAAGGTAAGTCCCTTACATGTAAGTAGCTCTGGTAAAGTCTTCTCATTTCTGCTAACTTTTGGAGTATAGCTTCGTAGTTTAGAAGTTTTAATTTTAATTGTCTTATTCCACTCTTTACTTCTAAACGGTAAGTATCCATGAGGTCAAGAGTAGCTTTGGTAGCTTTAAGTGGAGCTATCTGTTCCTTGACTTGTGCAATTTTGGTTGCAATTGTGGTTTGAGCTCCTTCAAGTTCGCCGTCTATGTCGTTCTCAACGCCTTCAACCATGGCTTGAAACTCTTCATCGGTCCATTGAGATTGGTGTGGGACGAATTTAACTTGCTTCATTCAAAAAATGAAAAAAATGTTTTTACTCAAAGCGTGCCATGTATATGGCTATAAGAAACTTACCAGAAGGCTTCTTCTTCACATGAGTCTTTGGCAACTTGAGTGTTGGTGTTGGAGTTCTGGGGGAAGTGGCTCTGAAATTTCAAATCTCTCTCGAGCGCAACAACAGATGTCAGAATAACATTCCCCACTGTCCTTCTTGCCACCATAAATTGTGTATTGACCGAACTTGCATTTGCAGGAAGACCGGTCAATACAAGGTTCACAGTTGAAATAGTTGTACACAAACCTGTTGAGTACGAGTGTGAGTAAAAACATAAAAAAAAGTGAAGTTAAATGAGATGTTTACTGAACTGGCTGAAGAACTGGCTGAATGTCGCCTTCACAGGTTATGTAGAACGGCTGACCCGAGAAGTGAAGGAGAGACTGAATTGCCAATTTCATATGGGGTAGGGGTTCTCCTTGTTTGGTATTTTTATCCAAGGACGTTTGTTTAGGAACTTAACAAGAGCTTCTCTTTTGGCGTCCTTTATGCCATCGTAGGCTGTCCCGTCTGGTATTTGAATTGGAATTCCAGTCGAAGTCTCGAGCTGAAGTGTAACCTTCCAGTAATAGAGATGAACTTGACCTTGGGCTTCATGACCTTGCGCAAGTAGTCTTTTACGCAGTCGTTAATTTCATTAGGTAAATTGCCTCGTCAAGTCCTTCTTGCATTCCGAGTCCTTCCATCCGACAGGAAAATATTTTCCCGACAACTGGAAAAAATTTTCCGGACAAAGGGAAAAATTTTTCCTTCCGACAGAAAAAGTTCTTCCAGTTGTCCGTCCGTAAACCATTCAAATTTTCGAAAATTGAGAACTTTTTGGTCGAACTTCAGAAAAAGTTTTTCCTTCCAACAGAAAAAGTTTTTCCTTCCAACAGAAAAAGTTCTTCCTTCCGACAGGAAAGGTTTTTCCTTCCGACAGGAAAGGTTTTTCCTTCCGACGGTTAAGCCACAAACAGATGTCCGACGTACCACCAACCGAGCCCATTCCCAAACCAGAGGAACCTAAAGCACCAGCCCCTGCACCTCAGCAACCTCAGTTCCAGCAAGTCCCTCCACCAAATTACTACCAATTTCCACCTCAAGGTTACTACCTACCACAAGGCTTCCCGAACTACCCTCCTCCTCAGCCTATGCCTTACTTCCCCAACCCTTGGATGTTCCAACAAGCTCCACCCCAGCAATTCCAATCTCAATCCAAATCGAAGAGAGACCAAGAGTTCGAAGAAGGTCTGAACCGCTTACGCAAAGATTATGCCACAGCCCCTATGGAAGACGACAGGCTTTCAGTCTCTTCCCTCAAATCGACCGATTCGACTCGTACCACAGATTCGGTTCGTGACCGTGAAGACTACCTCAAGCAGTCTGAGAGACTCTTCATCCTACAATCATTTACAGTTGGAGCTCTCAAGAACATGCGCAATTACGAAGGTCAGACACCAGCTGGAGACCGCAAAACAGACGTACTCGCAAGAGCAGTCCAACTGGTCAAGACAAAGACTGAGATAGTCGACTTCATTCTTGCAGCTTGCCCATACAAGTAAAAAAATAAACAATTACGAGTTAAACTTTTTATTCTTTCTTTTCTGAGTTGTTTAGAGCTGGTTTCTCTTGTAGGAACCTTTCGTACTCTTCCATGGTCATGTAATTGCGAATTTGGTATGCAATTCCAGGTTCGTTGTTTTTGAACCTTATGTATGTAACGCTTCCATCCTCCTCGGGGAAGTAAGCTGCTAACATCTGACCAAGTTTTCTCGGTGACTCGGAGCTCATTAAAAATGTCACTTTTTAAACGTTAAGTTTTTAGTCTTATTTTACCCTTTGTTTACCCTTTGTTTGTCAAGGTAGTATTGGAGTGCAATTTCTCCAAATTCTCTGTGTCGGAGTTCTTCAGCATTTTCCAAGGTGTACCTGGAGAACTCAAAGAAGTTGTCAAGAAGATACTGCCATGCTGCTCTTCTGAGTTCGTCGGTATTTTGGAAGTGTTGCACCTTCGAGTCTTCGGACATGAAAAAATGACACTTTTTCTATTAAACCGTTTACAATTTGAATTTTGTTGCTGAATTCAGCAAAAATATAATTTAGGGTAGAAGGTTAGATCTAACCTCTTTTCTAACCTCTTTTCTACCCTCTTGAATTTTCATGAATTTTATACAGAAAATGCTTGTTTTGAGGTCGAGCCACTTTTGGCTCCACCGTATTCTTTCAACCAAAACTCATGAATTTTACACCAAAAATAATGTTTAGGGTAGATGGGTATATCTAACCTCTTTTCTAACCTCTTTTCTACCCTCTTGAATTTTCATGAATTTTCCCGAAATAAAAAATAAAGTTAGTTTTTTTAAAAAAATATTTTTTATTTTTATTGTAAGAACATGTTAGCAACAACAGCACCAAACTCGTTAGTCATGAACCCAACTTCAATGTTAGTAGAGATGAAAAGCTTCATTCCTTCTTCATATACTTTCGAAACAGAAATCCAGAAGATAAAGCAAGAACTTCTCCAAGGAGATTTAGATTGCACTGCAAAAGATGAAACAGATGAAGAATATCTTTATGAAATGCAGGATATTATTGACCATTTACCCAAATTGCCTGAAATCCAACAACAAAAGCTTACTATTCCAGAATTCGATGAAATAGAAGTCAAAGCAACTGACTCAGTAGAAATAAAGAAGTTCATACGAAAGGTTAACTATGAGTTTCTTGGATTTCATTGCAACCACAAAGTCATGGACAAAGATTGCGATATGGTATATAAGAACATCTCTGACATATACAAATCTGGGGAGTTTAAGACCTACGACAACTTTGTTTCGTTAGTTGCTGAATGTGTATGGCAGATAAGAGATAAAGATAGAAGAGGTAAGATATGGAATGAACAGATAAAACCCGCAACTTTTGAGTTAAAGAGAGCAATTGACGCCTTAGTCATACTAGCAGGTAAGGTTTCAGAATATAAGCAAAAATGAACCCACAATGTTCTAAATGTAAAGCAGCAATGAGGAAATATAACTACTCCGTCAAAGAGATAGAACGTATGCGAAACGACTATGCTGACTTAAAGAGGGAGGCAGAGAAACCAGCAGAAGATAAAATGGACATGTTGACATTTCTAAACAAAAACTATCCAACAGCTGACGATTTCCTTCTTTCAGATGTCAAGAAGAAATATAAAGAAACCTTCGGTATCGT